GTTTAGGGTTGAGCTGAAATACAGCTAGAAACATGTTACATAAGAATGAGCGGGGACAGCTCGAGTTGAAATATGGGCACTGTTTTCTCTAAGAGGTCGTATAAGGCAAATAAGGTCATACTACTAAAACACAAGAAGGATTGCAGTATATTGACACGTAACGGAGCTTTAGAGGGTAGCGGATTTAAAAGGCAGGTGTTTCTTTTTGCTGCACGTGCTATATTCAGAGAACTGCAGCATTTTTATACAGATCACATACGCGTGTTGCAGCAATGATAAACACACAGTGTAATTAGCCCCAGAGTCAAATGGGAAATAAGAGGTAAGATTCTTCTTGACTCCCTTTGAAAAACTAAATAAATAAATGTGCTGTGCTGTTGATAACTCAGAGATAATGGGTGGCATGTGGCATTATGGCTGCACGGGGAGGTTTTTTTTCTGCTTATGTGACAACATGAGGCCATAGCAGTTCCCAAATGTAAACACAATTAAGATTTCATTTTTGTGTCCAGAAACAGTTAATTTAGTTAATTTAGATCAGATTATTCACGAAGTATGACATTGTGTTCACAGTTCTTGTATTTGAAGAGTATTATTACACAAATCAACAGTAAAACTTGGATTTTAGCTCATAACTTTACACCATGATACTTGCCTCCATCAAAATGCAAAATACACAGTTTTTGTTTACTTCTTTTAAATCCACGAAATCAGTAATGGGGGAAATTCTCTGGTTGAAATTAGCCTGAACAACTTTATTTAGCAGTTACAGAAGCAACTGCGCTCACTAGACACTTCATTAGATACAGGTTGCTTATAGCTGGTTGGACCCCTGATTGTCTCCATAACTGCTTTTTCATTAGCTGGGCCCACGTCCTCATTTTAGGTTTGACAGCGTTTTAGTGGTAAAGGTGAATGGCTTGGACATGACTTGAGCTGCGGTTTGGGGAAGGCCTCGAAGGGGACTGGCGGCGGCTCTCGGGCCTGGCAGATCCCCATGTACTAAATAGAAGTGAAGAACTTAACGAATTGAAAAGAGGGGGGGAAGGTGGGGCATATAAACGAGAGTGAACAGAACTGGGGGAACCGATATAGATGAGAACCAGAGGGAGCGTGTTTGGAGGCGTGGTCCCGCTCCTTAAATTCTGATACATAATCTCCAAAATTTTTTATGGCACAGATTCAACAAGTTGATGGAAACATTCCTCACAGATTTTGGTCCTTGTTGACATGACGGCATCACACAGTTTCTGCACATTTGTTGGTTGCACATCCCGTTCCAACATAGGAGATGGGTACACTATGATTATAAAGGAAAGGTCATGGTCAACAGTAATACTTGAGTATATTGTGATGGTTAAACAATGCTTAGTGTGTAGTAGGAATCCCAAAGTATGACAAAATAATGTCCCCTACGACTAACAGCGTGAACTGTTGATACAAGGCAGGATGGCGCCATGCTTTCATGTTGTTTACGTCAAGTTCTGAGCCTACCATTCAAATGTCACAGCAGATATTAAGACTCATCAGACCAGACAATGTTTTTACAGTCTTCTGTTGTCCAATTTTGGTGAGCCTGTGTTTTAATTGTAGCCTCAGTTTCCCGTTCTTGGCTGTGTGGTCTTCTGCAGTACACGTCGTGCTTTCACAGATGCTCTTCTTCATAACGAGTGTTTATTTGAGTTACTGTTGCCTTTCTTTGAACTTTAAAAAGTCAAGCCATTCTCTTTGTCTTTTTCTTGAGGTTTATTTTTGAATATTGTAGCCTAGACAGTGGAGCACACAGGAAAGAGAAAGAGCAGAGGGAACAACAAACAGGAAATGACCCTCTTGGGTGACCGTTCAGCTGCCACCTGAGTCTAGCTGTTGTCCTCTGACTTTTGCCATCAACAAGTGATTTTTCTCCCAGAGAACTGTTGCTCACTGGACATTTTCTCTTTTTCAGATGATTCTCTGTAACCCCTAGAAATGGTTGTGTGAGAAACTCCCAGTTAGATCAGCAGTTTTGTAAATACTTAGACCAGCCCATCTGGCACCAACAACCATGTGACAAGTCACTTAAATCACCCTTCTTCCCCATTCTCATGCTCAGTTTGACCATGTCTACATTCTCAAATGAGTTGCTGCCCTGTGATTGGCTGATTGCTCTAGCGTTAACAAGCTTGGAGAACAAGTGTACAAAGTTGTGATTGAGTGTATGTTGTCAGTGCACAGTCAGAAAAGGGTTTGTTTTAGTTTTTGCTACAGCTATATATATTTTTTTTTAATTATTTATGAGTAGTTGTCGTTACTGTATCAAAAACATCTAGCTTGATTTCAGCCAACATGAAGTAAGTTTTTAGTGTTATATTTTATTGGAATCCATATTCATGCACGTGTAAATAGAGCCTAGTGTGAAGGCTGTGCACAAAGTCTTTTGTCTTTGCATGCAGTCAGCAAACCTCTCAGTATCACACTCACCAACACAAACGCAGACAAGCAATCTGTGGTTCTCAGCAGTATCATTGGTCCTCATCAATCACGGGAGACAGCAGCAACCTTCCTGGAAAAGGAAATACGCATACACGCTGTAGTCACTGATAATACTCGCTATCTGATTCAACCCTGCATGCTGGAAACAGTCATATCTTTCTGTCTGTCTCTATGTTTGAAGGCTGTACATGACACATGTAACTGCTCTGACTTGCTTTTAGTTATAACAGAAGTAACAAGGACACTTTATTAACAAATTACCAGTAATTTCATTACCCTGTACCTGCTTTCAAATGCTTAAAAAGATGTGTAAGTGTGAATCTCATCTTAGCTGTAAGTGTTAATTTATTCTTAAACACTACATGTTACTGAATTTTACATCGCATCCATTACTGACTATAATAATCCCTGTCTCAGCTCTCTGAATGCTAATAAATCCTCATCTGATCAGCTTGTTCTTCATCTACATTTATCAGCATTAGCTGCCAAATCACTAGAGTAATATATATAATATATTCTTGGTCAATCCATGCATCTATCCATCAAGACAGTTAATGCTGAATGACTGTAAAGTCAAACCTGAACTGACTAGGCATTAATTGTTTTATTGACAATGTTTGTTTGCATTATGGAGAAGATGGTGTGTGAGTCTTACTTACTTTTTAAGGACGTGAACAGCAGAAGTGTAACTGAGTTACTGTATATTTCATTGCTAGTACTCTGTCTTGTAGATGTGCTGCTATCCGACAAGTCCTTTTTCTTTATGAAAACCATACATTACCAAGCATCTGCTTTTCTCTGCTTCACTCTGCTTTTTTCTACCTTTTATGGTGTTTTTATGTCTTTTTACTGGCTTTGTTACCTCTGCCAAGCAGGATATGTTTTTGGTAGAGTTTTCATGTGTCATTCTTTCTGAAAACGTGATAGCCCGAAAAGTTTAGAACAAATTCTAATAAAACTTTGTTGACATGACCCCACTTGACACAATCTATTCAAATTTGCCTAACCCTAACCCATCAGGATGTTCAGGGTCAATTTAATGATTTATTGAAAACTTTAAACTATTGTTCTTAAAAATGTGGTGTGTATTGTCAATATATAGAAAGTACTGCATGAGGATTTAAAATGTCATGTCACATTTGACCTTTAACCCCTCCTACAAGATTAATATTGTTGATCTGAATATCTTAAGCAATAATAATGCTATATAGACCAATTTTAAACTATCTTACTGCAATACTTTGTGTTGACAACATATAGGTGTAAAGGTAGTAATATATAGGGATTATAAAATATCCCATTATGTGATATGTTATATATGTTATGTGCACTACAGTAAAAATTTACAACTGTTTAAATACATAACAGTTTAAAAACATGATCAATGTTCCTTAATATGCTTTTTTTTTTTTAAACAAAAACTTGTGATCAAAACTTTTAAACATTTTTAAAAAATCTGCTACTAAACAATGAAATGAATGCTACAGATTTACTGCTTCCACATAAATGCACAACTTCTGTCAGGTATATTAAAAATGGGTTTCAACAGCGCAAATAATAAAAACCTGCACTTTGCACTTGTTTTTACTTCACTACAAACATCTTAAAGTACAGTTAAAAAGAAGAAGAAAACAAATGCATACAAAATACAATGCTGTTCCCGTAAAAGTAAATACTGCCTGGAGAGTGAGCTGCCTGGGTGGAGGTTTATACTCTCGGAGTGCTTCTTGGATTTTTATGTACTCGCAGCTCAAAAAGCTTAAAACTGCCTTCTGTAGCTTCATTCCCCTTCATTTTATATGATCACCAAAGACAAACAGGCTTCCTATTAGTTTGCATTTCTCTAGTCTTATTGACCACCTGTGTTACTAGGAGTAAGATTCACCCATTCACTCATACAGCCATTTATTCTTTGTATACATACATGCACATTGATGGATGCATCAAGGACAACTTTTAGTCTAGCGTTTAGTATCTTGTCAAAGGCTACCCCAGTACTCGGATTTGAGGACCAATTACGCATTGTCCATGGAATAAAAAAACCTTACGTACGGGTCGGTATTTATCCGGATTTATAGCTTTCTTTTGTTCAGTGTATAACTTTAACAAGGGCACGTATTCTTTCCGAAGCTATTAATGTAAAAATACCATTCTTACAAGATTTAAAACTAAATGACTTCTTACTTTTACATGAATACGTGCAAACCATCATCACTCGGCATTTAGATATTTGATACATTTGAAATCTTTTTCGGGGTCCTATTGAGTAAGATTCCATCACATAACATTACTTCAACCTGCACTTGCCATCATATACTGTCATCTCATACTGTATCTCATCTCATGTATTTGACAGTCAAAATACTGTCAAATACATATCCATTAAAAAACAACAAAATCACATATTATTTTGTCTATAAGTGAAGAAAAACGTGTAAAATCTGGCAGAGTTCATCAAAAGCATGCCACAAAAATATTTGTGGAGTGGAACATCAGGCATACATCTCCGCCTTCTTGATTCTGCGTTATGTATTCGATGAAGTATGAGTCGAGCTTAACCCCTCACTGTCTCCATCCTTCCCTCTTGTTTCTCATTCACTCTTCCTCAGTTCCCTCCCACACTCTTTCCCTTCTCCTCATCTCTCTCCCTTCCCTCCCTCCCTTCCCTCTCCTCTCCTGAGTCCAAGCCTGAGATGCTCATCAGTGGCTCCTCTCCTTTGAAGTTCTTCCTCTCCCCTCTCCCTCGCTAATGGTGCGTTTGAAGTGTCACTCAACTCAAGGGCACCCAACACACACAGCTGGAGGACCAGGCATTTTTTTTGCCATCTATCTGTCAGGAATGTGCTGCATCAACTTTGGTCCCGTAAACATATCTGTGTACTAAAAAATTAAAATCAAATATTTTAATAAAGAGCTGTTTCCACCATATAGCCTTTAATCTGTCTAACTTGCATATTATGGGCAACAACGAGATACTATTCATTTTTTTTATATATTATTTTTTTCCTATAGTAGTTTTTGCTTAGGCAGCAAAAGTCTGTACAAAAGTATTGAACCATCAATCATTTCTTGATATTTTGCAGACTTTTTAAGTGGTCTTGAGTAATAGTTCTCTGGGCTTTTTTTGAACATTGGTACCTGACCACTTTCAGGTACCACTGTCCAATTGTTTTATGCCACTTAACACTCACCTATCAATCAGTTAAGTGTAAAAAAAAGCACATAACTCAAGAGATGAAGCCATGTTGTGCCCACACATACCAGATAATGTGTCTTTAGGCACCCTGTTACTTGCAGCCTGTCAAAACATCATTTGTTCCGTTTGTTTGATTAAATCTGCAAAAACAAAAAAAACTTTACACAGTTTGATAAGCATAAAATAGTATTTTCACACCAACAAGTTGATTCCCAAGCAGCTGTTAAAGTTTTTGAGGAAACTGGATGAGTTCAGAAGCAAAGAAAGGATGGCAGGCCTAATAAACAACTACAACAGATGAACAGTATCTGAAAGTAATGATCTTAAGAAATGGGAAGAAATCCAGCAAAGACCTGACGCAGGACATGAGAGATGCATCTGGCCCTTTGGCTGACATCATGGGAATACAGTTGGTTTCTGTTGTTATTGATTTGTTTAGTTATATTTGCAATTTCTCGCATCAACACACAACAAGAGATCCACTTCAGAGGCTTCTGCTAAGAGCTGGGTTTAGACAAAGGTGCTGCCAGATTAGAGTATGCACACTGTGAATTCATTTGGCAATTGTCCGCTGTGCTCTTATATTGGTTAGGAGGTGAGAGGCTATTTAAGTCTGATAAGACTGGATTGGATGTTTGCCTTTTCGTGTGCAGCTCTGTCATGCTATGCTATGCCACTGATTAGAGTCAGTAGCAGCTAAACACTTTCAAGCATGCAGGTGTTTACCGCAATCAGATCTTTACAGCGTATAATATAATTTCAGTGTTTCCCCTAATGAATATTGCTCCAGTTTGCTCAGAGAAGGAACAGCAGCAATGTTTTTAGTTGACATGGCATGGCTCGCATGGTTGGCTGGACAATGATCACACTAACAACTCTCCTCCTGTCTCTCCAGGCCACTAAGGAGGTGATAGAGCGCGAGGCTCCAGGGATGTCTCTGGCAATGCTGATGGGATCTCTCAACGTCACACCACTAGGCATGCTTTCCAGGTCAGACGCATTTTAGTCCAGACAGCACAGCAGAATCACACACACCAGAGTTATTATAACACTGCAAGTAATTTTTATTTCATTTTGATTTTTGTTTTCAATTAAGTTTAGTTAAGTTTCCAGTGAAGTTCGATTACGAGTGGATTTCTATTTTTTGTTTCGGTTTTATTGTTTGAAAATCTTTAGTTTCAGTGTTAGTTTTAGTCTTTTTCATTATTAGTGTCTATGTTCTAGGACTTATGTCAGAGGAAACATTTAGGAATGTCAGTGAATATGTTACGACAAAACACTTTTTATTTTCATTTTATTATTTAATTATTTTATCACCCTAACATGGGGAAAGTTTTCCCTTCAAAGTGATTCCAGGCTCAGGTTAAACTGCAGCTCAGCTAATGTTAAAATGTCCTGTGAATCTGACAATAAAATTACTGTATTTAGAAGTGTTCAAGGCAGGTAATTAGGCAGGTTTTTTTTAGTAGACCCTCTTTCCTCATGGTTAAGAAGACCATAACACTTTTTTATTTTTATCACTTGATTTAAGGAGATTTGGGTTTTACAGTGAAAGAAGAGCAGCACCCACATTTGTCACTATAATTGAGCGTATTTCTCACAGCACTTTGTTCCGCTGTATTCATTAAAACTTTCTCTGTCTGTTTACAGACCTGTGTGTGGTATCCGAGGGAAGACACTTATTATTAACTTACCAGGAAGCAAGAAAGGTTCCCAGGTAGGAGACACCGCAAGCATCCATTACATGGATGTAAAAAACAAAAAAAAAACAAAACAGACTCACCTGAAGTAAGAGAGGAACATTCATATTTATTTGGTTCAAATATATACTGTACATCGCAATCTGTGTGAAAGCTTCCTAGAGTGAGACCGTTACAGTTTTTAAAGCCAGTGCTGGCAGACGCAGAAACACATTTAAAAGGTTTAGACACAAAAGGGGATGCCGAGTTGAGGGGTCCAAGTAGTCGGTGGTCTCTAGCTATTGAAGGCAACCAAGCAGGGTATGCAAACTTGAGAGGAGAATCACAGGCGGGCAGGGAAGCTGACAGTTTGCTGGCACACATATAGTCTAGCAGACAAAGAGAGCTGAATTACAAAAGTAAAAATCACAATAAGGACTAGGAAACAATAGAAGAGCCCACAGTTGATACTTGACAATTGAATTATTATATGTGAGAGCTGATTTCGGTGTGTGTGTGTGTGTGTGTGTGTGTGTGTGTGTGTGTGTGTGTGTGTGTGTGTGTGTGTGCGCGCGCGCACCTGTCTCTCTGTCTGTCGTTCTGTCAGGCCAGTATGAATGGCCTGTTTAAGGTCATGCCAAAGGAACTCAATCAGAGTCCGAAAGTCCGAAATTTTAACTAGGGATTTTTTTGTTTTGTTTTGTATTGTTTTTTTAGCCTTTTGAAGCCCTATGCTGGTATTTTTTGGACTGTTGTCCTACTGCCCAAGTGCTCTTGAGCTTGCCAGACATTCTCCTTTTCTAGTAGAGAGCAGAATTTACGATTGCATTAAATATGGAAAATCGTCCAGGTTCTCCAGCAGCAAAGTAGCCCCACTTCCACCACCATGTTTGATTGCTGGTATGATGTTCTTTCTATCAAATGCTGTGTTAGTTTTACTCCAGATGTAATGGGACTCAAACCTTCCACAAAGTTCAACAAGAATATTTTCCCAAAAGTCTTGGGGTTCATCAAAATGATTTTTGGCAAATCAGGAAATAAAAACAGGAAGGAGGCTTTTTCACTTTTTCACGTATTTATATATATATATATATATATATATATACATACACCCTGGTTTGGAGCAGGTTGTGTTCATTTGTACTTAAAAATGGGCTGCAAGCTTTCATTTACGCTATGCTTCTGTGCTATACAGATTCTCTGCTGAACACGTCTTTCATACATCCAAACTTTTAAGTCTTATTTTACCGACACTGCAGAATGAAGCACTCCTGCAAAGTCGCCGCAGCACAAACTGTAATACATCACTGTCTCTGGAATTTGCATGCATTCTTTTTGTGATGCTGAAAATGCGTGAATATGTTTTTATTGGTGATCCTAATGCCCTGCTAAGTCTTTTTTTCCACACTGTTGGAACTGTAGCATATTAGCCTACAAATGTAGCAACATTTGTAGGCTAATATTTAATTAAAAATTTTTTTATCTGACCTGTAAAACCTAGTTGCTCCAGATCATTAGACCTATTTGCATATGACATGTTTGCTTACTGCCAACCAAGAAAACATATTGTAAAATATTTTAGTTAGTCCATGTAGAGTTAGAAATTTGGAGCTTAGTGAATTATTCTTGAACAGTTACTGTATCCAACTGTGTTTGTTTCAAATTTTAGGCTGACCTTTCTGTGCAAAATACCTCTTTTGAAACGAGCAGAGTTCATGGTAGTGCTTCTGGTTATTTACTGTTGTAGCTAGTTTGCTATGACCTGTTTGCCTGAACAGCATTAGCTTAATGTTGTAACACCTAAAGCTCATCTTATGTTGGATTCTGCACACTGTTGCGTTTACTCATTACCCCTGTGCGTGTAAACACCAGGTGCACCATTTGTATATGGATTTGTTGTTGCATGGTGTAGTTGTGTGCCTCTGTCTGCTCGGTTTGAATGATTAATTACTTCTGTGCAGACTGATCTGCAGGTGGACTTTGGTGTTTGTGTTGTCATGGTAAGCCCACATTGATGTTTTAATGTTTCTATGTTTTGATTTGCTTTAATATAAAGGTTAGCACATCTCTGGACAACCTTACTTAAATGTCAAATGAGTGAAAATTGCAAATTGGGGACTCTATAAATTTTATCTCTGTGAGTAGTGGGTGAGACTTCATGTATAGCTGGCATCGTCTGTGCAAACTACTGGTAACTGCAGCAGTCTGTTACCGAACGAATCAATCACTAGAAGGCTTTTGGTCCAGCATTAGATACCTCTTTGTGATCAAATTCACTTAATGACTGTGATCAGACACTCCGACTAGGCAACCTGTGCAAGTGCCTTGTGATTGAAGTGGTCACCCAGAGCTTGAGGATATTGCATACTCATCTCCTGGATGTCACAAGGATGTTACTGTTCTACTTTTAACTTAGTGTAAATGAGCCATTACACTGATTGCATTACTTCTAAGTTGATAAGCAGAATCTTTACAAAGAGCTTTTAAGCAACGACAGGCTCCAAACTCATTAGAACTCAGAAACTCATTAAACCAGTAGTAAATACAACTGCAATCACTGATACAAAAGTCAGAAAACCTGTGATCACTGAAAGATAATCAAATACACCTGTGATTACTAGTAGGTCTATTTGCGTGAACATGAAAATGTCCTTTGTATACCAGAACTGTCTGAACTTTAGTTCTGCGGGTTGCATTAGCATGGCTCCACACGGAAAATAATTTCTAGAAAAGTCTGATTTTTAGACCTTACAAAGGATGGGAAAAGGATGCAGGAGACTTGGTGAACAGATAAAAAGCAGGGGAAACACGACAACAACAGTATGAGCAGTAAAAAAAAACAAGCCATGGCGACACGGCGCAACTCGTTTCCTCTCTCTTTACCTCAAAAATGTACGATATAATTGGCCATTTTTAACTACTTTTGATTTTCCCTTTAGTTCACCTTTAAAAACTATTTACTTTGCCTTGTTTGGTATCATTCTTTTCGGCACAACCTTATGTGTCTGAATTTACAGTTATGTTTTCATTTTGACAAACTGTATTAACACAACTGATCTAAAATCACAAACATGTTTAATGAATCATATTTCATAACCTTAAATACAAATATAAATTGTCAATTTTAAAATCGTATTCACAAGTTTTGCAAACAAAGTTATTTGCATCCATTTAAAATAACCATTTCAAACTATTTACAGAAAAATCAGCTGTTCTGCATTCAATAAGATGCCACACAAATTATTTGTGCCACTACAAAAACATAATTTGTGTCCACTATAAAGTGTACTTTTTTTTATTGATCCCCGTGGGGAAATTCCTCTCTGCATTTAACCCATTCACTCAGTGAAGCAGTGGGCAGCCATCGGGCGCCTGGGGAGCGGTGTACTTCAGGGTAGATGTTCAGGAGAATCGAACCCCCATCTTCTCTACCTACTGAGCTATCCCTGCCCTATGGGAGAACATCACAGCCTGATACCTGTAGGTCTGACAGCAGCAGGTGTATCACTGCTCCTGTTTCTACCTGGAGACAGCAGTC